AATGTCGGAAATGCTACAAACAGACAGCAGGGCGGCAGGAAAGAGAAAATTTCGGAAGCGCGGAAAGAAATATGATAATCAAGGCTTACAAGCTGGAAAACAGGGCTGAGAACTACATGAAATGGGTACTACATGAAATTGATTTTCTCCCACTTTTGGGCCAGAAATCGTATGAAACCGAACTGAAATAATTACGACGTTGAACCGAGAACACCTAGGACTGTTTGCATTCGATCAAAAGCCGTGTTCTAGCCCTCGCATCAATGGAAATGCTTTCCGGAATGCAATTCACCCAGCATTTCCTGTAGCCCAACTACGAGTATGTATGTACATCTTCGCCGCAGCGCAGCAACTGAGTTGCGAAATGTTTATCCTTTCAGTTTTGGCGTCGACATCGTAATGTTGGAAATGTTATTGTTAAATGTTAGTTTTGTTATGCAAACACACACATACTCCGCCAGCGGGGGAGGGGTGCGGAGGGGGGCTTTTCAGGGACTGTGAAAATATGAATAGTCAAAGTCGAAGTCGGCCATATGTTCGCTCCAACTTTATCCCACAAAGCATTCGAAAAAAGCCAAACGGGAAAGTTGCAGCAGCGACTGCAGGCTGGGTGGTGGGTGGTGTTTTCATGTTTTCATGTTTTCCTTCTGCGTACACAGAGAGAAACCTCGCCTCACATTGCGGAGCGAATCTTTCCTTTTAATGTGGCTAGGAGTGGGCATCCCCGAACAAGAGACCCGCATTTTCTCTCAGTGCGCGTGTGTGGGTGTGTGGGAGCGCTAATGGGAAATTATATTGCCCGAGCCGAGAACGAGGGGGAACGTGGCGGAAACTCGTGGCACGTCTTGCGCTTTAAGCTGCAACACCCAGAAAAAGGGAGCAGCAACAATGGCTGCATGGAAATGCAGTTTCCTCCGCGTGGAAACCGATGTGCGAAAGGGGGCACCTAAGCTGCACTAGTCATACTGCAAATCGACCACGTCGAAATCTGTGTGCCCCAATCGTGCCGAGGGGGCAGAGGGGAAACAGATACCCAGCAGGACTGGGAAATGCCTGCCACTCTACCACTCTGCCGTTCCGCCACATGTTGTGGCTTCGAAAAGTTTCACCGGCCCGCCGGCCTGTGTCTCCAAGAGAAAACAATGGAATAGAAATAATGAATAAATAAGCAATACGCATACGCCCCGTTCGCACTGCCACAAAAGCCAAGAGCACAGCTTTAACCTAACAATTGGGGCTGCAGTATCTGCGGCATGTTCTCCAGTTTCGCTTAATATGCAACGCCGTATGTGAAGTTATTGGCTAGTAGCCAGTAGTAGTTGCTGCTGCTCCTCAATCCTACACTGATTTTTCGAGATTGTGTGGCCTGTGCAATTGTGCATGGCCAGAACCATGGCGAGAGCCGAGGAAAGGCGTTGCTCCCAGAAGGGGCAGTACCTGTCAGTCGGGGCTCCATTAATAACACCCTGCTGGAGCTTTTGACAAATGAGCGAGTCCAAAGCGAAAGACTTCATTTCACGTGCTCAGCTCGCACGGAGAAACAGCTTGCTGCAATTTGTAATTTCTGCGATATTAAATATCAAGAGTAGTATATCCAGTAGTTGCTCTCAAATTGATTCACCATGAGTTTCTCTCTGTGCAGAAACTATGAAACTGCGTAGTCCGAACGCGTTAACAATGTAATCCATATTTTGCTGCTTGATTGCCGGCAAATTGAAAATGTCAAGTGCACACATATCCGGGGAAAAGCTGGGGAAAACACGGGCTTCCTTTTCGCGGAGGCTCCGCCTAAATACACGTTTCATAACACGCAGTTTCGAGTGCTCATCATGAAGTTGGATGACCACGAACACTCCTCACATATAATTGCTCCATTGTGACCGACCATCCTAGCGAATGACCCGTTCCATCAGATACTCCAGATACTCCACATCCGATATCCAGCGATATCCGCTGGATGGAGGGCAACCAGTCAGCCAGTACAGCAAATTTAGACAGAAACTTCACGGCTGCTTTATCAAATATTTAACTCGCTTTTCATTGTCTGTCGGTGCTGCTTGTTGCTGGTTTTTGTGGGCTGCCATCGGTTGTTTATATGCATAAATTTTATTACACATATGCTTTTTATGCGGCACAACAATGCCAGCGCAAGTTAATGCAACATAAAATTTTCATTTTTTATTTATCTGTTTGCCCTTTTTTGTTCGGCTCTGTTTTTGACTTTTTCCGAGCTCCCTTGAGGGAAACCCACGAAATCAAAGGAGAATAAAATAAAGCACAAAACAAACGAACAGTGGGCCACTCACACTGCAAGGGTCGACTGCTCGGACACCCTAGAAAACACATGCAAACATATACAGGGGAACGACGATAGTGCTCTGTTCTTTTCCTGAACTTCATCAGCCTGCTTGATGGAAAACCACAGTGGTTTCAATGGCTCGGCCGCATATTCCCCAAGTGATACCCTGGAGGAGCGGGAACAAAAAGCCTCGCAATAAAACTGCCACACACATAGCACATGGCATAAACCGCAGGCGGGAGCCACGCCCCCTCACCCACACACACTCGTATATCAGAAATATGCTAAATCAGCATATTTGCGAGTTTATTTACAAGGACATTTATAAAAATTTACGGGCGTGCCGTAAATTGCAGCCGCCGGGCAGGTCTTGAGATTTATGCGTCGACGATTATATCAGAAGGGGTGAGGTTAAAGGTTGCAGGCCTACCGAGTCGACGTGGCCCAGCTCGTTTGCACTTGAGAGACACAGCCACAGTGAATGTTAAGCGGTGTTAAGCGAACCCTTTAAAGCAGGCAATCCTGTTGAAGGCAATGCCTGAGAATGCCATCAGCCTCTGAGGGGGTCAGGAGTGGCATCTTCTGCTCGGAAGAGTGATCAGCCAACTTCATCGAATAAATATGCAACGATTTGTGCGGTTCGAGGCTTCTTGTTCTGTATTCTTCTTCTATGTTGCAGCAATAGAAAAATAGCTTCCACGATTGAACCATAACCAGTTCGCCTGGATAATGAAGTCAGCATCATTTATTTGCATACCCAGTCCCCTTTCACCTTTGCGAGTCTGTGCGGCAATTAAACTTCAATTGCAGCGGGGTGTGGGCACAGGCGGTTGCTCCAGGGATACAGCTTTTTTAATTAAACTTTGCTGCACTCCGCACTCTGCCCAATCCTCGAGCCCTCGAATCGCATTCACTCCGAAATTGATGGTTTTAATTAGGCATCGGAGCCGCTGAAATGACACTTTATGCGTGGCACAGGGCACAGGGATCCAGATACAGATCCAGATACAAATCCTTATCGCTATAAATTAATTGAAGCTGGCGTACGGCGGTCGGCTTCAGTGACCAGCAACGCAGAAAAACTTTGGAAAATGCCCAAAGTCCATTTCGGGGCTAACCCTGAAATCAGACCATTTTCCAGGCCCACATTCAGTTAACCCTTTCCGACGTTCTTTTCCCACTTATTTTCATTCCGAGCACTTGTAGGCATAAAAGGATGTCTTAGACTCACGCGCCGTCCTTTGAATGAAAGCAAACGTTGGAACTTTTCATTCCACCCCGCGAAAACTAAAAGATTCGATCAAGTGATGAGTAGAGTAGTTACAAAAAGAACCTGGTCAGCAGCTTTTTTAAGAGCCTCCTAGCACATATCGTCTGCAATAGGTACCTCCAAGTCCATCACCTGGTCTTCAGAAGGTTACCGTATTTTTTCGCCTTGACTGCTTCAATTGCCATGAAATTTATGTGCCGTCGCTCAGCGTGAACTTGATGCGCATAAATCCACATGAAACGGATATTAAAAAGCATGAAACGACCCATCCCCCATCTCCATCCTCCATCCTAACCCTCCCACATCCGTATTGACTATGTATTATGTAGCTGATTGACTCGGATCTGTGTTGCTGGCCTGAAATATGAGCTTATAAATTGACAGCGGGCAGCGGAATGCTCAGGCTCGTGCGCCTCATTTCCAAACTCCGGGTTTGTTTGGCTGTCTAACGGCGGTGGGTTATGTTTTAGCTGGGCTCTTGGCACACAAGAGTCCTTTGTCCTGGCCGCCGGACACAAGACCTCTGTTCCCGACCGGATAATTGGTATTCTGTTTGGAAGGCAGCAAGCGACGGGCCACGTTACTGGTCACTTTGGGTTGTGGCAACGAAGGGTTAAGGGCAGCATGTTTATGAGTAAGAGGTACGAGGTAAGAGTATGAATAAATAGAGGGAGTAATCCATTGTTAATCGAATCCCAACCAACCAAGAACCCATTGAGCATTGTTTAGGCTTAGAAGCACCCAAAATGCATGCTTAAAGCAATCATTCAAAGTGATCGACTGCATATATACGAGTATGCAAATACTGGATAAGCCAATCGATTATTCACAACGAATTCCCCCATCGAGCTGCACTAATCTGCAGAAAAACCTTGACCATTGCACAGCTGCCAAGGATGCGAAGGACTCGCAGCCGGACGTCGGGGCCTAATGGCCTCATAAATATGCAGCACGAAGCTGAAGGACGAAGGATGAACTCCACCTGAGAGGCAGGACCTGGCCAAATGATTTCCCTGACTCCATGGCAATTCAATTCAATTCGGCTTACTGTCAGTTGTATCTGTAAGTGGCATTTCCATCTCGAAGAGAAGATCCTTCCAGCCTGCTGCCGTTGGCATATTTGATTTTGTAATTTGCATTTGATAAGCGACTCTGAGCAGGACTTACCCCCGAAGTGAAGTCCTTGTCATTGTCCTGGCCTTGGCTACAGTTTCGCCTGAATTCCTGGGTTCTTGCCACCCCCTTTGGCAGCTCCAACTTGTTTTGTTTTAATTCCATTGAAATACATTTATCTATGCCAAAGCAGCTGGGAAAAACGCAGCCCAAACCAATTGGTTCAGTTGTTGTTTGTCTTGAATTCCATTATTTAGCCTCGTTTTTGTGGTGAACTCACAAAGATTTGCCGTTTAGCGCACATCAACAGTGTTGGCGTATGTGTGTATAATAATATTGTTTATTCTGAATTCTCGTCACACAGCAACTAAAACGAAATGATAACGAAAATATTCGAAATGAAACCCAAGATTCTTAAATATTACTTAAAAATAGTCATAATATAATCATAAATAAACTGATTTATCACAATTTCGGAAACAAGGATTAAAATATACATATTCGAAGTTGAAAGAACGTTCGGGTAATAATTAATCAAGGCAAAACAGTAAAAACTCTATATTAAATTTTAAATTCAAACAATCGTATCCAAATTTGGCAAACACGTTAACTTTGAGTTCCTTTTTCGGGGCGCTTTTTCACGTGGATGATGTGTCAGATGCTTTGATGGTTCCTTAGCCTAGAACATTCAGTTTGCTTTCATATATATAGATAAATATGAATTACAACGAGTAGATTAAGATCTATATCAACTAGTAAGTTGTACTTGCATTAGTACTTGTATTAGAATAACATGAAGGGAAGACCCTCGGACTTCGGAGACTATGAGCACCCTTGCAAAATATGTTATCTGCTATGCCACATGTTAGTAATATGAATAGTGTAGACATTCGCATTCTCATTACGAAGCAGTAACTGTGCAAGGGTATTTAAATTTGTGTATGTAAAGGACCCAGTCGGCTTCATCACGTTAAAACAAGCGCGCGTTTCATCTGAAAAAAAAAACAAAAAAAAATGTAGGATTTGTACTTTTGAACTGTAACCAAACTCACCTTTTTGATTTAAGGTCCATTCGACCCTTAAACTTCTCTGAGCAAAGTCTGTGTTGTATTGTAAAATGCACTTCTATATGCTTAAGGGGGAAGTCCAACTGTCAAACTGCAGCTAAAAGGTTTGAAGATCAAATGTTTGAAGAAATGTTTCTTTCGAGACAGAGAAGTCCAACGCGCTCTCATTTTAGCCGATGGGAGGTGCATTCTTGGTTAATACTGTGTGCATATAGGAAGTTTATATATATGAGGCAGCATTCGCCTGCTGGTGCCTGGTGGCTCGTCTGTCGACAACTTAAAAACAATAGCAATACATCCGTTTTTGTCTCGCTCATTCTGATGTCTCGCTGTTATCTGTGTGGGGCCGGGGTCTGTCGAGGATCGCTCATCAGGCGGTGCAGGGGTGCGACGATCGATGGGAGATGGATAAGTGATAAGTGGATTATGTCATTCGGCGCTGCCAACCGCTACTGCCGCATTACGTGCTACGTCCGATTTGCAACCAGGCGAGCAACAACTGCAATGCCGGCTGGAGCAGCACCAGTTTTCAGATATCTGTATTGATATTGATCCGCGTGAGAAACTCGCCGTGCGAATCGGCCTTAGCGCGTATGATCTCCAGCAACAGTTCGCGCGACAAGGCGGCTATTTTCGGCAGCCTTGCGACCTTCGCAAAGTCTTTGACGATCAGGCTTAGAGCGTATTCCTTAATATCATAGATCTTTGTGATGTCTGAAGCCTCCAGCGTCTGCAGCACATTCTCGAACGTTATGTTGTGCTCCAGGGAGTATTTGCAGAATGCGTGGAGTCGATTGTTGGCAAGGCCATAAAAGCACGGCGCCTGGAAGAGATAGAGTGCATCCTGCGGCGGCATCTTCGTCTCGCCGTAGTAGATGTAGCGCAGTAGGGATTGGAACGCCTCAAGTGAGGGAGAAATTTCGCCAATTTGGATCTGGGTGAAAGCGAAATTGCATGTTATTTGGGAACAACAACGGCGTTCAACAGTTTAAGGGCGCATAATAATTTCACGAGACTTATTTAACAAGCACGGGTTTCTACAAATTGTACAACTCACATTGACTGTGTTGTCCGGTGGCATAAAGGATCTGAACATGCCCTGAAAGTAGGTGCATCGCGATGACAACACTGACTTGTGAGCTGGTATTACGTGATCTTCCAGCACAAGGCTTATGTCGCAGAAATCTTTGCCAGTGGACTCCAGAAAGGCGCACAGATCGACCTCCAAAGTGGTTCCTGCTCAAAAAATATTGCTTCAGCTAATAATTTGTGAACTATCGACGAACCGTACCTATACTGCCTATAAAACTGGTATCTATCACCAACTTGCTGGGATGCAGGCGCTTGCGGATGATCTCGACCAGCAGAGGCTTGTCCAAATCGCTGAATTCACTGGACATGACCACCTCTGTGAAGTTCTCCTCCTTGACAATGAACTGCATGCAGTGATCCTTAATGATCTTAATGCTGTGTTGGGGAGTGTTTACACAAATTAGTTTCATTTACAAATGATCCAAAGGCTATGTATGCTCTCACTTGTTCTTATCCGCATTGTATAGCGCCTCCAGCACGTTGAGCTTGTTAATCTTGTAGTCCAAATACTGGATACAGCCGTGGGCCAGCCGCGGCATGGCGAACAAACAGGCAAGTTGGTAAATATCTGTGATCAGAATGATGATGTTCTTACTGTACGTGTCCTTCAAGTCAATGCGATCGGTGTAAATGTAGTTTAATATGATTTCAAAGGCCTCTGGGGAGGCGTTGGACAGTCGCACCTCCAACATGGGCCCGCGGTCCCCGCCCGCGCCCGTATTCAGAGCCAGGGCATCTACCTGGCCCACCCCGTAGACCTCCTCCAAGTGCTGCTGGCGTGCCTCCCGGGAAGACAAAATTTTGTTCCTCAGATACTTCGAACGCGCCGCCACAAAGGCGATGTGTGCCAGGATGCGAATCTCCTCTGCTCCAACGATGAACTGAATGTCGCAGAACTGTTTTTCGAGGAAGAACTTCCCAAAGTCATCGCGCAGCGTGCACTTCGGGTACGAGGAGAACTGGAAGCGATAGGTGTCGCCTCTTCTCACACTATTGTCCACGGTTCCGCCGAATATATACATGGCATCGCAGATGACGGCCGAGGCATGGAACACCCTACCCGAGGGCACATCCGAATTCTGTTCCGGCTGGATGACGGACCAGACCTGCGAGTCCAGGTCGTAGCAGTGCAGATTGTTGGGCAGCGTTGAGTCCGCCGATCCCCCGAAGACATACAGGAACCGATCGTGATGCACCATCGTGTGGCCATATCGTCGAGAGGGCGGAGCTGAGGTAGCGCCTCGCAAGACGGGCTCATTGGAAATGCGGCGCCAAGTGCGAGTCTTGAAGTGGAACTCAAACAACGAGTTCGTTATCTGCAAGCCACTCTGTCCCGAGAAGACGTACATGGCGTCTCTGGCCACAGCCACGGGGAAATTGCAACAGGTGGGCGGACGATCGCCCAGCTGATCCACCTCCTCCCACTGATTTTCGCCGGTGAGGTCGAGCGTCCACATGTCGTTTAGCCGAGCATTGCCATCATAGCCCGCATAGATCCACATCTTGTTGTCATACACGGCTGCTCCGTGGGCGGATCGAGGAACCGGCTGACGTCTGGAGAACATCCATTCCACCCACATGGCGCTCTGGAACTTGTACTCGAACAGATCGTTCTTGTTAGTCAAGTTTGAGTTGGAGTGAATGTCGCCGGTGTAGCCGCCAAAGATAAACATCGAGCTGCCGGCCACCACCGCCGAGTGATGGTATCGCGGAGCAGGCGGAGTTCCTGTTGCACATGCGCGGCCCCAAGACTTGTCCTTAACGCCGAAGCGAATCAGGTCATTCAGCATGTTTTTGCCGTTGTCGCCGCCAAATACAAACATCGCATCCTTGTAGGCCACCACTGTATGCTTGCTTCGCCTGAGTCGGAAAAAAGGGATAGGGAATATAGACATTTTCAGCAATATGGCTTCACCACTCACTTGGCGCCCACGAACTCGGCGCATTCGAGCATCCTGGTCCACTGATGCGTGGCCGTGTAGGAGGTGAAGTCCACGTTCAGGGCATTGCAGCTGTAGCTGCCCGGAGAAGTGGCCTTTCCGCTTCCACTGCCACTTCCACTGCTGGCATTGCTTGCCGCGTCGTAAGCCATCCCGCATCCCGATCCGCCAGGTCCGCTGCTGCAGCTGCTGCCCGGAGGATGTGAGGAGGAGGCCGCTCCTCCACCGCTATTCCCTCTAGAGCTTCTCATTGAACTGGACATGGACATTCGGAGATTCGCCCGTATGTGCTGGGCGTCCAAGCAGCCGGCGGTGGAGGCGCTTTTCCTCGCCTTGTTCCGTTTGCCCGACTTGGAGGAGCTGCGCGAGAAGAAACCCTCGTTCTGCGGACTCGAATTCTGGCTGGGATTCTGCTGATTGGCAGCTGCCACACAGGCGGGGCAATAGAGAATTTCGGCAGGAGTGCTGGCTCCACTGCTGTTGGCCAGTCCTCTGTCCCTGTCGCGATCCCGTTCAAATCCACCTCCGCCGCCGGCCCCGGTCACAAATCCGCACACCGCACTCAACCCACTGGAAATCGAACTGGAGCCCAGCCCACAACTAGCACGCCCGCTTCCGCTGGTGCTCCTGCTCCCAGAGGCGCTTCCTCCTGCTCCACCTCCTCCTCCGCCGCCTCCGCCACCGCCTCTTTCCGTGGATGCCACACCAACGCCTCCGCTGATCGACTTCAGCATTAATTCATCACACGCTGGAAGGATCCTCCGTCGTCGTCCTCCTTGTGTGCAATCGTAGTCAGGTTCTCACAAATTGCTGATTTTATATACAGTTGTATACATTTGCAGCTGAACTCCTAGTTGTTATCGGTTATCGATAACGCAACAGTATAGCCTTGGGTTTTGGTATATTCTACACCATTCGGTATATTTCAAATATATGCTTCTAATATATTTTCTTGTAGCCCTATAATTCCCAACTAGTTCTAGGGAAGACGGTAAGGCATGTCTTCTAATTTAGAGTCACAAAATATTCCAAGTCATCTTTCTTACCGTTCGAGCAGTGAGTGTAGTGTATGTACCGGTGTATGTATGTATGTATGTATGTATGTATGTATGTATGTATGTATGTACGTATGTATGTACGTATGTATGTACGTATGTATGTACGTATGTATGTATATATGTATGTATGTATATATGTATGTATATATGTATGTATGCATGCATGTATGTATGTATGTATGTATGTAGTGCATTTGTTACTTGCACAAAGTAGTAAAAATTGTTTTAATTAAAGCCTGAAGAATGTTTAACTTACTCTCGGACACATAGTTATTGCCGCTTTTAATATTTGTTTGGGAAACATATTTTCTTGTAGCCCTATAATTTCCATTATAGTAAGGCATGTCTTCTAATTTAGAGTCACAAAATATTCCAAGTAATCTCTCTTACCGATCGAGTAGTGCGTGTAGTGTATATGTTCTTAAGTGTGATTACTTGCAAGATCACACAGGCATCCCTCTTGAACAAATAACCAGGCAAATGTTATTCATACAAGTGTTTGAAATGTTATATTTATTTTAAAATATTTATTCATAAAAAAAATTTAAAATACAATAAAAATTCTTGTTAAGAAATTGATTACCCTACACTGAAAGAGATATATATTTTTATGTTTATTCGCCAATTTAGCCTTTTTGCGGACAGATCTGTCCTGTTTATTACTGCGTCATCCGGAAAAAATGTCAAACAGCCCTAGCCCGGAAATCTGTCCCTTTTTAAGTTTTTCTATCCGAAAATCTGTCCTTTTTAGGCAATGTTAGATTTTTAAAAAAATTTAATTGGTATAATTCCACATTTTTTTGTTTGCAAACTATGTGACATCTCTTTTAAGCAAAATGTTATCGATATTGTGTGTAATCGTATGAATATCGAACTCACTTTGTCAAATTGCCTAAAGAAGAAAAATATTGGCATCACTGACACACACACACAAACGCACGAAAGATTTAAATGCACCGGAACCGTTATAACGGTAGAAACCGTTAACTTGACAATTCAAAAAAAGCACTTGGAATTCAACTTAAACTTAAATGCAGACTTAAATACGTAGGATAGCAGTGCGCCGCCTATTTGAATGTGGGGCAGGCGCGTACCCAGGTGTCTCTTTGGACTTTCGATCTTTTATAATGTACAGACTCACCAGGTTCTTTTGCCACTGGCCGCCGACGAGATTTCCCTCGCACAATTCGGAGTTCATTTTGGTTGCTTGCTGCAAGGACGTCATGATAAATTCGCACAAAAACAAGCACAACGATTTCCAGCTACCCGTCTAACTAACAAACACTTCGCACGTTAAAAGACTGCGCCAAAACTGAAACTGAACTTCAAGTGACGCTTCCAGTAGGTGCGCGGTATGTTTTTGGTATATGAGCAAAAGCCAAAGTGCCAACACAGCGGACGGTATTTATGGGTGCAAGCTCTCTGGTCACACTGACCAAAACAAAAACATTGAATAGTATTTGTATCCATGATAAATTGTTAAACTAAATTAAGGTCGACTCAGGACAATGGCCAGCGGATCCAGGACGACCATTTTGCCGCAGTCAAAGGAGGCGCTCCTGAAGTCCTACAATGCGCGTCTCAAAGACGACGTGCGCAGCATGCTGGAGAACTTTGAAGGTAAATGCAGCAAGTGGACCACCGGCAATAGATTATAATACCATTATCTCCCATAGAAATCCTCAAGTTGGCGCGCCGCGAGAGCCACAGCCAGATCTCGAAGACCACGCAGTGCGAACAGGATGCCCTGGAAATGCAGGTCCGCGCGGCCAATATGGGTGAGTAAATCCACAGCGCGGGAATCAGATTCGAGCCGTATCCTCCATGCATCCCGCTTTATAGTTCGTGCTGGCGAGTCCCTAATGAAGCTGGTGGCCGATCTGAAGCAGTACCTCATCCTCAACGATTTTCACTCGGTCAACGAGGCCATCACGAACAATTCGCAGCTGTTTAGGAACACGCAAAGCGAGTGCGACAAGAAGCTAATGAAGCTGAGAGACGAAATGGCCATGGACCTGTACGACCTGGAGGAGGAGTACTACACCAGCATTTTTAAGTAGCGCTACGGCTCATCTTATACTTGAATTAATTTTGGCCAAATTGTACAATTTAGTAACAAATCAATTGTAATTTTTGTTTAGTAAACCGCATATCGTGTCGCATTCACAAAACCTGCTCCTGTTCCGCCTCCGAGGATAGGGAGCAACTGTCCGGAGTGGCCGCGCTCAGGCTGTCCACCAGGTCGCCCGTGTAGAAGAGGACCGCCTTCGGAACGATTTGGGTGCGCAGCAGGAAGCCCACTTCGAAATCATTGCCCAGGATCAGCTTAGTCTTTTCATCCGCAAGCGACAAGTCCAAGGCCTGCGGTGGAGCAAAGAAGCGGAAAAAGGACTCTCTAGGAATCACCTTGGTGACGCGGCGGGCTCTGTTTCTTCGCCTGCTCTCCACCGTTTGGAGCGTGAGATTGGACCCATCGCGCCAGTGGATGTGGCAGCCTTCGCAGCGAACTATTTCGGGACCCTCGAACAGAAATGGATACTCTGGGTCCGCCGAGTGCTGCAGAAAGTAGCGCTTGGTCAGCAGCAGCGAAGAGTCGTGGAGGAAGCTGTTGGGCCGAAACTGAAAGATGACCGTGTAGCTATCCTGGTCGTAAGCCAGGCGCACATCCATTAGGCACTCCAGCAGCGGTTCATCGTGATCCTGGACCAGCTCCGAGAGCAGGGGCACGTTCTGGAAAACGGTCAGCCAGAAGCGTGGAACACCCACGGTAGTTGGCGAAACCGGAGCCAATTTTTGCCGCAACTGGCGCAGCTCCTCGTTGTTCCCAAAGTCCAAATACAGCGCATCCTGCGGGTCCTCAGGCCAGGACTTCTCCGTTTGGATCGGTGGCTCCACCGAACCCTCCAAAATATCCCGCCTGGCATCAAAAAGGGCGCAGCTCTGGCCGTAGAAACGTCGCTCCAGCTCGTAAACTTCCCGGAAGAACTGCTCCGAAATGCGCACCTGTTGCAGCTGATTGTGCCTGAGTGCCCGTATGCGGTTCTGCACGGGCTCCGCCAGTTGGCCGATCATGTGCCGCAGGAAGGCCTTCCGGCTGCGGGCAGGAAGGTCCGCCGGACTCAAAGCCGGCTCCGTGGACTCCGGAACATAGGTGCCTAGAGAGCGCACGGACTCGCTGATTCCGTCTGCCTTCGAGTCCGGGTGGCTTTCCCGCTGGTTAAGCTCCTGCGCGCTGTCAGCCATCTCAATCATTGTGCAATTCGGTGCAACAGCAACTTGAAAATTTGGGAATCTATGTTATAGCTCTACAACTTGACACTTTGCATGGAAGCTACTATGAGTTGAGTTGTACATGGCGTAGTTTGGGTCTAGAGAATACACCAAAGCTGTTCCTTGTCCTCCAAAGAAAGCTGCTTTGCGGGAACGAAAATTCGTTTGATGACGCCTTAGATTTGCCGAATAGCAGTCGCAATAACTGTGTAATCTATCCACTTCAGAGCTACGTGCATAATTAATGAACCCAATTTCTAAAAACAACGCATGATATGCCGATTGGCCGAATTCCGGGTAAATCGGTGTCCCATATCTGTCGGCGGCTGCCTTATCGAACAGATGCAGATCGGACATACTTGAGGGTCATGTCCGGGACTTAACGGCCCGGGACTAACGGGCCATAAATTGACATTGCGGCAGGTCGGAACTGAGCGGCAACATAATACTCCAATCCGCATAGTGTTTTTTGTGCTGAATACTTGTACTAAACCTATCTGGCACTCCGTCCGGCTCTTATCTGTGACACCTGGGCACTTAGTGCCTGGTCTTGACTTTTATTGGCCTGGCGGAGCGATAAGTTGGGCCCATTGTCTTCCAGCTGCCATAAACCGCGCTCGATACGCCACTATTTATTGGCAGAAAACCCGGAGTAGCTGTCCAATCTTATCCGTTCGTCTGCCGCATGCTAATTTATTGGCGACTAATCCTTACGGGGGGTCCAACTCCAGCACCGATTGCCATCGGTAATCTTCCTTATCGTCCCGAGTCCTCTAGATTGCAGCTGCACCCGATGGCCTCCAGTTGATACCAGTTGAATGATGGGATCAGCAGCCACTTCAGATGCTTTAAAGCCATTCAAAAACACTTTTATTCCGATAGGGTCCCCAAATATGTACATGCTATCTTAAACTGAAAACAGAAATGATGCCGCGGACTAGGATGCCTAGAAGACGAAGTCCACGTCCGCCCCCTCCTCCTCCAGCAACGTCAGGCTCCTCTCGAAGCGCTTGATGTCCCGGTACCAGCTGGGATCCCCGGAGGATATGTCCTGCGGCCTGCCGCCCTTGTGGCGATACAGGAACTCGGCGTGGCCCTGGCCGGAAACGCCGTTGACCGTGCAGGCCACAAACTGGTTGAACACCTTCGACTCCCAGTCGCCGCCCACGTACCGCACAGCGGAGGCCTCCACCTGGATCTGCACGAGATACTCGCGCTCCTCGGTGCGCACAATGAAGTTCTGGTGCTGCGGCGGGGTGCCCTTCTCGCCGTAGGAGTACAGCTCGAAATTGCTGCCGGTCAGCGGGTGATACTCGCCCGCGGGGCTGCACACGTAGCCCACCTTCAGGGAGGAGAGGAAGAAGGACGGCTGGCTGAGGCTGCCCACCACCATGCTGCTGCCGTCGTCCATGAAGAGGGCGAAGTACACGTACCGGTTGATGGAGCTCAGGCAGCGCTCGGTGCCGAAGCTGTGGTCCCGGAAGCCAACCATTTTCAGGGGCACTTGCCTACCAGCGAGGGTGACCTTGCCCGCCAGCTCGCCGTTCTGTTCGTAGTGGGTTCGCTTCTCCAGGATGTGGTTGACGCTCCGCAGCAGGCTGTAGAACTTCTCATTCCATGCCTCCCTGGCTATGGAGTCGGCTATCAGGGAGCTGCTCAGATCCCTGCTGTAGTCGAAGTGCTCGGCGGAGGAGCTTTCGAATCGGAGGTCCAAATCCACGGGCACGTTCTGCACCTCCGGCCCTTGACTCTTCAGCGCTCCGCAGTACTTTATGCGCCAAACCCTCATGGATGCCTCCTGGAAGACGTGGAAGCCTCCGCCCTGGAATTCGCTGCTCTCCGCTCCATCGTCGGTGGTGAAATGCACCATGTCGGGCAGGTTGGGGGAACTGAACAGGCCGCTTTCGGGAAGCCACAGGTACAGGGCCGCCTTCAGGACTCCGCGCCTCCTTCGCTCCAAGGTGACCAGCAGTTTCTGGCCGTCCTTGTTGGCGGCCATGAAGCTGACCACGTCGTAGCTCTTGGGGTCGTTGCTGAGCTGCTGCGGTCTGTCGACCTTGGCCAGGTGCTCCTCGGACCCGAGCAGCTCCTCGTTTCGGTGATAGATGCGGTACCTCAGGCGCCGAAGGACCAGCAAGGCGATCCAGTACTTCACCCGGTAAAAGAGGCCCTTCAGTGGGTACTTGTCGAAGATCAGTGGAGGCTTCAGGCCCAACAGCTTCAGCGCCACGGCCGCCAGGGCCATCAGAATGCCCAAGATCAGGCCGAGCACTGCGAGGATTATCATGTTTGTACCCCGAGATGTCGATGTCTATGTCGATGCCGATGTCGATCCCCGTCAGAAACGCTTCGTTAACCGATCCGCTTGGCCAACTGGACGCGACTGCGAGGCCACTGCAGCATGTGTGGGGAAATGGGCCTTGTGGCCACTTATCGCCACCCGATAAGCTGCAGTTAAACCCACTTTCGGCCCCACCCCCTCGGACTGGGCTTATCGAATCGGAATCGACGGGCTTTACGACGCTGCATGACTGGCTCGTAAATCTGGATCTGTCTGCGGTCGCAATTTCTGATTGATCCATTACCTGGATCGTCATCCAACGTGAGCGGCCGATAGCAATCTCTCCAGGTAGCCGTGTTGCAGGTTATCTGCTGGTGCAAAGTTCCACAGCGATTAGCCAAGATCGCCTGCTCCCGCTGGAGGAACCGGTTCTCCTGGAGCTGCGGGTAAGTCTAACTGGACTGGAATGATAATCCGCCTAAAAGAGAGGTTTTCAATGCCAAAGGAAGAGAGGTTTCGCATGAGTGCCGAATCTCAGCCGTTAGATTCGATTCAAGTGGCAAGCTTCCCTGTTCAACACTGGAAAATGTCCTTAAAGCACGCGAATAAGGACTTTCCAACACTCGGAAACCGCGCCTGCGCCGCAAACATCAAGCGCCTAATCAATAAAAACATAAAATTTAGTGCGCAAGGAGCATCAGCAGCAGCAGCAGCAGCAGCAGCAGCAGGAACAGGAACCGAACAAAAACAATATTCCCGAAGGACGCCAGCAGAACGCACAGCACTTTCCGTTGAGGCCGAGAAGGGGCGCATTGTGGCGCAAGAGGCAGGACAATCGGGAACAGAGGATACGCACATTGAGTATTTACTGTCGCAAAGGTAAGAGCTGGGAAAATGTGAGGGTGGAGAGGAGAGAGAGGATGCGGAGGCAGTTGCAACTCGAATAACAAAACCTCATTGGACTAGGGCCCATCTGAGGAGCTGAGCAGCCAGGTGAACCAATCAGGTCCGAGGAGGACCCAGCCACAGCCAGCAGGCAAGTCGAAGTAGCGCAAGTAGAGGGGAGGAAAGCTCCAGAGGAGCGAGGCAGCCGCGAAAGAATCTCAAGCGCATACGAGGAACAGGACAAGATGTATAAGACCATCAGGCACGGGGAGAACAGCCTGCAGTACACGATTCTGCCCCAGAACGACGACTTCCGCATCGAGGGCAAGCTGTCGGGCTCCGGACGATCGGGCTCCGCCGGCGGGGGAGCCTCCGCCTCCGCATCCGGAAAGGCCAAGGGCCAGCGACGCCGCCGCTCCTTCTTCGCCTACTTGGGCTTGATCTTCGTGTGCACCGTGATCATTGGCGCCGTGCTCCTACCCTTCCTGGTGTCCGCCGAGTGTCTGCCGAATCCCACGGAATGGTTCCTGAAGACCAAGGCGGCCCTCATCCACAGTCCACAGCCAGGCGGCGCAGAGGCGGCTGGCAGTGCCGCACTACCCACGGGATCCCCCTTGCTGCAGCAGAACGTGGGACGGAATGTGCAGATTGTGAACCGAAATGGCATTGAGCAGTTCGTGATCCGCGTGAACAAGACCAATCCGAGTGCCAGCACCACCAGTGGCACCACCACCACCACCACCGTGACCAGCAGCTCCAGTTCCAGCAGCAGCAGCAGCACCTCCACGACAACGACGACGACAACCGCTCCAGCCCCCACAACCACCAGCACCGCCACCACGACAACCAGGGAGCCTCCGGTGCCGACAACTCCGAGGAACCCGCCTCCGCCGCCGCCTCCACCGGCCACCACGATCACCACCCGCATCATCCAGGTGCCGCTACTCAAGTCCGCCGCCAAGAAGCCCATAATGCCGCCAGTTCTGGCCAAGGCCCAGGGGCCGCAGGTCCAAAACTCCAGGGTGCAGACGCAGTCGGGCACGGAGCACGACTCGAAATCGACATCGGAATCGGAGGACGGTCAGAAGAGCAACGGCGCCTGGATAAAGACGCACTGGGCCTACATCGATCCCTCGACGTACTTCCAATGGACCGTAAGTTGCACGCAAAGGCTTAGCTGCCCTCCGCCAACTCCACTCCATTTCCATTGCAGGGCTACAAGGACGAGGATAGCGTGCTGCTGCCCGCTCTGCTGGGCTTCGCCCTCATCGGAGTGATTTTGATCATAACGGTCTGCCTGGTGGCACGCAACAAGCGCACCATTGTGTCCTCCGTCCGCAAGCGGCATCGCAATGTGAGTACTATGTGCATTTCGCTTGACCAACGAACCGGAAGTGGGTGGCTCGTTGCCTGGTTGCTCGGTTTGTGGGCGGGGCGTGGGTGGTGGCGCGCCAACGTCCTTGAGCCCATTTCCAAGCAGTGGTTGTGTGGCATCGCGATTGAATCACGAATCAGGGCATTAAGTTTGCATAGCTAAATGCCACTGGATCGAGTTCCAAACTTAATCGACTGACTCGAACTGCGCGCTGTTAGTTAAGCACGGTGAAATGGCTCGTGCGTCTTTTATTCGCCTTAGAGGTGTCAAGTGAAGTGCGAAAAGTGTGCAAATCTTGAATAATTGTGTGCGAAAAACAAATACTGTAGAGAAAACTGAATGCATTGAATTGGCGCCAAAATCAACGCCGCTGCTGCAGCCCTGGTCGTTAGCGATAGTTGCACAAACTAACAAGGAGCGAAAAATACTAAAACCACCCAGTGGAGCGGGTGGGCGTGGGTGCGAGAGAGATGGCAGGCGCGCAGAGAGCTGCGTGGCACTTCTGGCAGGGCTGGGCAGCACAAAAGTCGGAACCAGCGCATAAATCAAAATATAATTCTGCGACAAATGCATGCCAAGTGCAACGGAAATATATAATTCGGCTAACAAATCGTGTGAACAGTGTAAAGTGCAAGCAAGGGAAAGGTGAGAAGTAACACTGGAAACTGTGAACTGCGAAACGTGCGCGATGTGGCATCCCTGGTGTAAACACACGCACACACACACACGCGCAGGCGGCACACAGGTGAGCACCAGCAGCGCAGTCGGCACAAGCAGCGGCGCAGGCAGTGGCAGTGGCATCGGCATCGGCAGCGACAGCGACAGAAGCAGAGGCAGAGCGCCCAGAGCAGATACTTCAGTTTGCGTCGGTTGTGCCGATTGAGATTCAGATTCAGTTCCAGATCACAGCCCGAATCGGAGCCGCCAGTGTGTGCCAGCCGCAACGCAACGGAACGGAACGCAAGGCACGTCTACGTCAGCAAAACTACGTTGCAAGTCACCAGTTGGCCGGAAGATTGACGAAAATCCTGTGAGTAAAAGTGGCAAGCGTGCAACAACAGTTTTGCCAGCGTGTCTCTTGGAGTCTCCCAATGTGTGCGTGTGAGTGTGTGCGTGTGTGAGTGAGTGGGAGCGCGCAGCCGTCCATCAGTGTGTGTGTGTGCGAGCGTCGGTGAGCAGTGCCAACAAGGCAAAATATGTGTTTGTTGTTGGGGAGCATCTTGAGCACAGTAGCTACTCCTCGCAGCGCCAGGAGGCGCCCAAAGTGGGACTTCCCCTGACGCGACCGCATCTGGTAGCTGTGCGCCCGGGTTCCCATTCATAGAAAGTGGCCAGAGTGCCAGAGGCCGGAGCACGCCGTACGTACGCGGTTATCAGTCGTGCTGGAGCGCACTTGTGGGCATTTGTGGCTGGCAGATTGGAGCCGGGATGTGGAGGAGCATCACTGGAACGCACTGCTGCCCGGTGGGCCTGGTGCTAGAAACCAGTACCCGGCTTTCCGCGCCCGATGCAATGGACGGCCTGAAAGGGCGACGTGTCACATATGTGAGGCTGCTGCAGATGCTCTCCTGCAGCAACATGCGCTGGCGGTCCAGGGAAGGGCAGTGGGGCAGTCGGCAGAACCTCAATAACCAACTCGTACACCATTTCAGAACCCCCTGGAGCAGAACCCCTGAGAAATGGCCATTAAACCGGGACTCGGTCGCAAGACCAGCAACAAGAACCCGCCGATCCTGAGCCACGAGTTCGTGATCCAGAACCACGCGGACATCATCTCCTGCGTGGCCATGGTCTTCGTGGTCGGCCTGATGAACGAATCGACGGCGGCGTTCGCCAGCGCGTTCATATCCCTGCACCACAATGTCAGCGGCGAGGACCCCAGCCGGGAGCAGCCATATGGCAAGGCGTACACCTACATCGCGGGCATCAAGGACTACTGCGCGATATTCTTCTACACGCTGACCTGCATCATCATGCACGCGATCATCCAGGAGTTCGTGCTGGACAAGATCAGCAAAAAGCTGCACCTGTCCAAGTTCAAGCTGGCCCGCTTCAACGAGTCCGGCCAACTGGTGGCCTTCTACCTGCTGTCCTTCGTCTGGGGCGCCCACGTGCTGCTGAAGGAGGGCTACCTCGGCCAGGTGGCCCAGCTGTGGGAGGGCTTCCCCGACCATCCGATGAGCTTCCTGCACAAGTTCTACTTCGTGGTGCAGCTGGCCTACTATCTGCACATGCTGCCGGAGCTCTACTTCCAGAAGATCAAGACCAAGGAGGAGCAGCAGCCCAAGATCGTGCACTCGATCAGTGGCTTCACCCTGATCGTCCTGGCTTACACGCTGAGCTTCCAGCGCCTGGCCCTGGTTCTGCTGACGCTGCACTACTTCAGCGAGCTGCTGTCGCACGTCTTCCAGCTGATCGGCGTCTTCGATCGCGAGGAGCGGCTGGCCAAGCTGCGCGTGGTGAACAATGCCGTCTTCTTCCTGATCCGCTTCGCCACGTCGGTGATCGGAGTGCTCACGCTGTACTACGGCATCGGGGGCGTGCGATCCCTGCTGGCCTTGGGCGGCTTGATCGCCCTGCAGGGCTACCTGGTCTTCTCCTTCATCACGGAGCAGCTGCGCGCCAAGCGCGAGGCCAAGAAGGAGGCCAAGCGGGAGGCCAAGCTGGCGCTGCAAACCAAAAAGCCCGCCAAGACGCCCAAGGACAAGGTGAAGCGCAAGAAGGAGAGCGACCTGCCCGAGGCGGACCAGACCTCGCCCAGTCCCATCAAGCAGAAGCTCAAGTGAGGGGGCGCACAGTGAGCAAGCACCGAGCAACAAAATCTTCCGCACACTTCCAATTCAAAACGAATGAGAGATAGAGAGAGCAGCACCATGGACAGGAGCAAGGGGTGTATGGTGGACACTGGACACTGCACACTTGCCACTTGGCGCCCCGTTGATGTAATCTCGTTGGCTCAAAACAAAACTACCACTGCAACATTTCTGCTGCATTTACTTCCTCGTCACACAAAAGCAACTATTTCTTAGCCTAAATGTTTTGTTTCATTTAAGTTTACGTCATTTTAAAACAAATTTTTTTTATTTTTATACATACACAAAAAAAGTAAAAAAATCGAAACAAATACAACAAAGAAAAGCAACCGCCCACCGCGCGTGTGTTTTTAATTGTTCTTCCCGCAACGAGTGAGCTATTTAGCACTTTTCCATCGTCCGGTTTGCATGTGAAACTATTTAAAGAAAACCAAACGCCAGGGCGCAGCTGAATCGCAACTAGGGTTGTGACGAGGCAAGCGCATCCTTCCATTTGGGGGCCGCCGGGTGATCCTGGAGGTGATCCACAGCTGAGTAACTTTCCTCTCTTGCAGGACATCGAGGAGCAGGGCGCCGAGGACAACGCCACTCTGCTGACCACCACCAACATGTCGGACGACGACTAATTGGAGCTCGTCCAGATGATTCCCTGTTCGCCCTCGGTTCCAGCTTTTGATTTCCGGCCTGCTTGAGCGATTCCAAGTCGCCGGGCCATCGCCCACTTCGCCCATCCGTTTGAGATTACCCAGACCTGCTAAAATTGTAAGATTGCTCCACACCAGCGGATCCAGTATGCTAATCCCCATTCCCATCCCCCTCCTTCCGGAAGGCGGAGCAACAAGAAATCCAAGAACGAAGAAGACTGTTTCTGAAACAATTGCTTGGCTATCCTCTCCTTATAGTTTACCAATGCTCCTCCTCCCCCAAAACTGTGTGCGTGTGTGTGCTTGAGAGAGTGTGTGTGTGTGAGAGAGAGCTTGGTCTCGACACCCAAGATACCCCGTACTTATAAATATGCACGAGCTACAACTGGGCTGCTGCAGGGCTCTCGATCCCATCCGAAGTACTTTCCAAACCAAGCGAGCTTTTTAAACATAACCGAACGCCAAGGAGCTGCTGGCGCACTGTGGCATCGTAGGATGGCGCGCACAGTGGCATCAAGTCAGAGCGACAATTCCATGGGAGCCCTCGGAATCGCACTCAAATCAAATGAAACGTCCAGAAATAAGAATATTTTTTCGCAAGCAGCGTTTGCCGGGCGTTGACTATAACTAATTTGCAGCACAGGCAGGCGGGGATTGGGAAACGAGTCCGTTTTGGCATCCTGCACGCATCCGGCTCGCAGCCGTCGAACACCCAAAGCGCTTGGCGAGTTGATTCAGCAGATGGGGCACATGCAGTGATGCAGTGAATCAGTGGGGCAGTAAGGACTACTGCTCGTCTATATAAACTGTGCATAACTGTGAGGCATTGACAAGTATTTGAGATGATCTGTATTTTTGTAAGCGTAATATTTAAAGCGACAGCCAATAACAAGACAACCAAAATCCAGAGAAGCAACTATAATGCGTAAGATATCGCACGTAAGATATCAGCACCCGACACACGCAACACACGATTTATTTGCTCAACGCATGTACACACGTAATACATACAGCATAAATGTAAATATATATATATCTGCATATATATATACAAAAATAAGTAACGCAAAGTATGAGGCTTGCATTTACATTTACGAGCGGGATATATCCTCCATATGTATATGTTATCACTAATTTGCAAGGCTAAACTAAGTCCATATATACAAATCAAATATCGGAAATGGAAGTGACGAACACACACTATATTGAATGTTTTTGCTTGTTAAAGTAAATAATAAAGATGAAAACTCGAACTCACAACTCCCCTACATCGAGGGCCACAATCCTACCCAGCAAGTAACTACGCTATAACTACATTTACGGAAACCAACCAGTTCTAGCTAAGGGATCACTCTACGGCTGGGACTGTTCCTGCTGCAGCTTGTCGCGCTTGCTCTGCTGGGCAGTCAGGTGGTTCTGCACGAAGCTGTGGAAATTCTGGTCCTCCGCGGTGCCCTTCGCGTCCTCCTCCATGTCCTCCTCTTCATTTTCCGCTAATTGGGGCACCAGGCCAGGCGCCATTAGAAACACGCTGTTTCCGGAGTTCGGCGGTGGATCCTAGAATAGTGAAGGCCCTGCAGTGGGTGGACAAATAGCTCAAGAACTGCTCCTACCTGAAGCCCCAATCCCAGTGGCACGGCCACGCCGTCCTCTTCTACATGATCCACTGGCTTTGGACCCGACGCATTCTCCGCCAGCCGCTCTTGGAGCTTCTTCTCGTACACAGGCTTGTAGTCCCGCTCGTACTCGGCCACGCAGTCGAGAATCTTCGTCAGGAGCTGGGCATAGCCCACGCCTGTCTTAGCCGAAACGCCGCAAGTGCTTAGATTCTCGTAGAAGGTGTCCAGGGTGAGCGACATGGTACGCGTGAGGTTGCTCACGAAGCTCTGCTCATCCTCCTGAGCCTCCTGGAAGGCCTCGAAGTCCGTCATCCACTCCAGCACAAAGCTGCAGTCCTGCAGGTCGATCTGTTGCCAGCGGGAAAAAGTTGGCAATGAATCTGGATATCTGTTAGGCCAGGAAGTCGTTACCTTATTCAGCGCCACTAGGAAAGGCAAACGGGTCTTGTACAGGATGGAGCAGGCGTACAGCATGTTGGACATGAAGGTGGTGGGACAAACACTGCGGTGCACATCCATTACATAGACCACAATGGTGGGGAACATGGTCGCCAGTCCCTCGGTGATTATGCTCCCGGAAGCCGACCAGGTGAACACCTCGATCTGTCCGGGCGTGTCGATCACGCACCACTTGTGTCCGCGCTCGCCGGCGCGACGCACTAGCTCCGCAAACTGGGCCATTTTGGTGGTGAACATGTTGAGCGCGGTCACAATGCCGCCGTTGGGACCCAGTTGGTACTGCTTCATCACCTCCCGGTAGTTGACCGTGTCCCGGATGTCCACGTGGGCCGCATACGGCACTTCCTTGCACGCCGGATCCAGGTTGACCACGTACGGATTGAACTTCTCCTGGGCGTGCTGGATGAGACTCCGGGTGAACGTGGTCTTGCCGCTGCCCGCCATTCCCAGCACAATTATGCACACGGGCGACTGCCGGATTCCCTCGCTCAGCGTCAGGGCCTCCAGCTTGATGCTCTCCACTCCCTCGGCCATTGCGCTCCCGGCTTTATTGCGATACCCAAGCACCAAATGTGAAACGCGAAACTCAGTAAAAATCAAAACAGCAACAGGAGGCGCAAAAGCAAACGTGCTGTGGCAGTGTGACCGTCTTTCGGAAAGAGTACTCTCCGTGGCGCTTAAATCGGCTTGCGATACTAACAAATATAAACTGTTAAAGTTGATATTCAAGCTCCGCTTTACTGCTGAAGCTTTTCATCATACGTTACAACACATTCCAGCACGCAAATCCATCACACAGAGCACAATGGTGGGAGATGGGGCGGCAAGATCCTGGGTGATTTGATCTGCCGATCGCTGCCAGTTGAACAAGACCGCGTCTCTGGACATATGGATTACACACCAATTGAGGCGCACTTGCTAGTAAAGTGCACCATCACACAGCAGCACTTCGTGGAACCACAAATGTCCAGTTCGTTGCAGTTACGTTTTTGTGTACGTCTGCCCGCAATTTCAAGTTTGAAAGATGGAACTTTGCCAAATACCGAAAGGTATAAAACATACCGCACAACACACTAATGTGTTTTCGATAGCCGCAGTTGTAAACATGCTACCACCAGGGCCGGCGTTGCCAGACTAAAGTACCGGCAATGGAAGCGCGTTTTTTTTTATAGTGAATTTGTTTCGTGAATTGTGTTATTTAGTTAAAGCTGTGAAGTAATGGAAACCCGACTGGAAGTGCTCTTGCGGGAGCCGAATCCATTGTTTACCCGTTGGCTGGAACGCTGGCTGCGGGAAGCGGAGCGGCGAGAACAGAAGTCGCAGTTTAAGCTTCGTCAGGCGCTGGAGTCCCTAAAAAGCTACCCACTGCCATTGTCCAGCGGACGAGACTGCTCTATTCTGCGTGGCTTTGGGGGCACCCTCTGCCAGCTAATCGACGAGGAGCTCCGCCATCACAGAAGTGTCCAATTGGTGCCCCAAGAGGCCGAGGCTCAGGAGCGCTACGAGCAGCAGGTCCAGGCGGTCATACGCAAGGTCCAGGAGAAGCAGCTGGAGCACCAGACACGCCAGAACAAAAGCGACAGGCCCAGGAAGCCAACCAAGAAAGATTTGGCGGAACTGGCAGCCCTTGAGGAGCGGGAGCGCGTAGTGGAAATGCAACCAGGACGATTCCAGTTACTGCTTTTGGTGGATACTCAGGAAACCAGTGGCAAAAACAAGAGAGTTCTGGACCAGACGAGGAGCTACTTGGAATCCTTGGGAGCCCGGCATGAAGTGCGTCGTCTGACAATCGGTGATTTCCTTTGGGTGGCCCAAGATCAAGAGGGCAATGAACTGGTTTTGCCCTACATTGTGGAGCGCAAGAGAATGGATGACCTGGCGTCGAGTATTCGGGATGGTCGCTTCCACGAGCAGAAGCACAGGCTGCAGCACTGTGGCCTGCAGCACATCATCTACCTGGTCGAGGACTACGGCGACAATGAGCAACTGGGCCTGCCACTGGACTCCTTGCAGCAGGCGCTGACCAATGCCAAAGTTCAAGCTGGTGTCCGGGTGGTGCGCACTGCGAATCATTTCCGATCCATGAGTTATTTGGCCGGAATGAGTCGCTCCCTGGGTCAGATATTCGCCGGCAAAAAACTGCACAGCGTGGATCGCGGAGCCCTCGACAAGTCCACCTGCCTGCTCACGCACTCCGACCTGGGGTTGCTCAAGTTTCGAGCCCTCTATGAGGATTCCGCCAAGAACGCCCAGCTCACAGTGCGCGAGGTTTTCGTGCAACAGTTGCTACAGCTGCATTCCCTCTCACTCGAACGAGCCATGGCGATTGTGGAACGATACCCGACTCCACGTTGCCTGCTGGACGCCTACGCGGAGTGTGCAGACCAAAAGCAGGCCAGGCTACTCCTCTCGGGCATCACATGTGGACCCCTGGAACGTCCGCTGGGCGATAAAATCAGCCAGTGCCTACACGAATTCTACAGCACGCACTTTCGTTAGGATTAGCAATTGATTTAATGGGACATATCTAAGGTTATATACACGAGTTTATACATAAGTGAGAGAGAGAATACGTTGGACATTGAATAGTGTGATCTAGTCTAAGCCAAAAAATGTACAAGTCAGCCGCTTTTAGATGTTGCGGAAGTGTCGGATGGCCAGGTCCACCGGCAGATCGAAGTCAAATCGAGAAAGAGCGTCGATGGAGCGCAGTGAGTCCCGGAATCCCGTGCGGGCCACGTAGCTGTCTGGCGAGTAGTACGTGTCCACCAGCTCGTGGCAGCTGAGGATCAGGTTCAGCCACTCCACCAGCAAATGGGAGCTGTTTGAAGGAAGAGAAAAGCCGTTTCAATGGAAGAAGTAAGATAAATGTCAATGTCCGCGTCCTTGTTAGCCTTATTCATGCAAGGTGTAAGTCAATTTGGGACTTATAAGTCTAAGCTACCTGCACCTAATAAAATATGTTCATATTTAATTTACATGCTAAAGCAGTTAATCGATTAATTCGTAATTCATTGATAATAAGTTTAAGAGTTAATATTACCACAGTAACATTAATTCGTTAATTCATTGAGTTTAAGAGTCAATATTACCACAGTAACATTAACTTGATTTCGGATACGTGTAATTCTAAAAAGCTTGTGTGTCTCTTGCTGTGTTTAAGATTCCCATTTTCTTGGGAAAGAAGCTAAGTTTAAGAGTCAATATTACCACAGTAACATTAACTTGATTTCGGATACGTGTAATTCTAAAAAGCTTGTGTGTCTCTTGCTGTGTTTAAGATTCCCATTTTCTTGGGAAAGAAGCTATCAAATGTGTTTGAAAGATGAATAAGGCTAGTGCCTAAAACTATGCACTTGTAAACAATATGGCTATGGTATTGCTATGGTTTTGCGGCTTGTAAATCGATCTTGACTAACATTCCTTCGATTTCACAGCGTTTAGCCCTTGCAAATAACTCACTTGAGTCCGGCACAAACGAAGGCCTTAAAGTGCGCGTTGCTGCTCCGTTTGTAAGGACGATGCATTGCTAGAATCATGCCCACGGCGCTGAGCAAACTTTGCTTGGCGGTCACGGCCTGCGCGTCCACGATGTCCAGCTGGAAGCTCTGCGACAACTTTCTGGCCGGCGTGTTGTTGTACTCCTCGCCGTGCTTCAACTTGTAATAGGCCAGTACCAGTTCCCAGGCGTGCATGGCCCTGCCCAAGCCGAGGAACTGCGAATCTCCGCCGGCTGCGGGCGGGACTACCGGAGGTCCAGGATGCAGACACCTCATAAAGGGAACCATCAAACTGGAGGCAGCCGATTCCGCTGGGATGCGAAGTCCATGTTGTATAAGCTGCTGCAACGTACGGGCAAAGTTCTTCCGCACCACCGTGGTCAGTTCCCTGCCAATTGTGGCAATGGAGTCACCGCGTGCATGCGTCGTCCGCCGGCTCTTGCCCTCCTTTTCCCACTCAAAGTTGGAGTAGCTAATGTCCTCGTCGGAGTCGGAGGATATGGCGCCGCCAGCCGCATATGGCGCCAGTTCGTGACCAGTTGGGACGGCTCGCCGGCAACGAGGCGGCAAGGTCAGTGCTCCGTTTTGGGAGTTAATAGCCGGATTGCCAGTGTCGGAGGAGGAGGTTGACTCCGCCTGTTGTTGCTGTTGGCGCAAAGCTCGTTTGATGTTGGCCAACTTCTCGCGATCGCAGCTCAAAGTGGCGGCCAGTGAAGCTACTTCTTGGATGTCTACCTCAAGCTGGGCGCGCAGATCCCTAAATCGAGTGAATGAACAAGTCAGGTTTGTTTTCATTACTTTGGTGGCGGTGTTTACAAAGTTAACTTCATGATAGGATATGTATTCATCTTCATATAGCATAAATACTTTCGGGCACCGAAACATTTAGGCAATGACTTTTTCAAAGGGTTTGCGTACCGCTTTTCCACGAGGAATCAATCCAAAGGCATTTCCACCCAAGCCCAAAAGTATTTCTCTAACATTAAATAAATACCGTCCCTTCGCACTTTAAAGTTAAGGTCTTAAAGGCTTTTTAAAAACAAATCGTTTGAGACCTTGTTGCAAAAGCATATGAACATGAGCAAATGGATCTTACCCCCAGTGGTTGCCCTTGTGCGTCTTCTTCAGCGAGTTCTGCTGGAATTCGTCGTGACCCCGTGGCTTCACCAGATGCGTGCTGGCGAACATTTGCATGAGGACCGAGGCCTTGTCCAGTAGGCCATGTGCCTTGCTGTGCAAGCTCTCGCCGGAGGAATGAGAACCCAATCCGGAGGATGGCTGGGGAGAAGCCGTCGTAGCGGGAGCGTTTGTGGCAACGTTAGTTGCCTGCGAACTCCTTGCTGTCTGCTTCGCTGCGTAGCTGTTGTAGGCTCCGGATAGAAGCTTCAATCGATCGCCAACGGAGCCCTCGACGGCATCGCACTGAAGGAATGCAATGAAGCGCTCCAAGTCGGTTATCTGCGTCTTCAGTTGGGCCACCAGTTGCTCCTTCATCTTCAGAGGGCCCACAAACTCGCCGATGGCATTGTCGACCTGGTGGCGCAGTTGTTCCGTGCTGAGAGCCGGCAGTTCATGCTGCTCCACCTGCAGATTGAGCTTGGAGCGCAGCTCGTCCAGGATAAACTTCTGCTTCTCGAGCAGTACGTGCTGCGGCAGGATGCCAGGCTCTCCAGCCTCGTAGGCTATTTGTTCCAGCTCAGTCAGCTGCGACTTCAGTTGTTCGATGAGCTGGCTGTCAGGGCCATGCTCCTTCTCACCCTCGATGGCGGGTTCATCTGTATGGGGTTCCTTGGACTGGACTGCCTCTGGAATGCCTTGGAAGGCGAAGTCCTCGAGGTCGCGTAGAAGTTGATCCCGCTCCTCCGCTGGCGCCTCAACAATTTGCCGGACTCTTAGTTGGACGTGAGCAAAGTGGGAGGTCAAAGCCAGCAGCGAACTTGTTAGAAGCTCCTGCTCCTCCTCGATGCTTCGCAGACGAGCCAGTTCGCTGCCAGTGCTTCCACGTCGCGTTTCAGACTTTTCCAGTCCTTGTTCTAGTTCGCAATCCACGCCAGAGCTGGCGCTATTCGCGTCATCGTAGTTGGCTCCTAACGGCGACCAGCGTTCGCTAAGCAGCTCCTGCTGCTCCTGCTCCTGCCCCTGCTCGACCTCCACTTCCTCCTCCTCGTCCTCCGCACGAACAGCTCCAGCTGGCAGCTGGCCTTTGACCGTCGGGCACGGGTCCTTGGAGTCCTGGGCCTCCGTCATTTTCATTTCCATATGGAAATGCTGCAGTGGATCGCCTTACCCTGCGTCGTTGGTTTCCTCTGTTTTAGAGTGCTCCTATGCCCGAGAAAAATCAATCGGTGGCTTGTTCCGCTTTCTGTGCCAGCTGGCCCAGCTCCCTTGCTCCCTTGCTCTCTCCTGCTCTTTCGCTGGCTTTCGGGGAGTTTGTATGCCAGGGGTATGTGTGGACAAAACGATGAGCGCGCGGCCACGCTTTCTGACGCACTGACACTTTCTCCGAAAGTCGTCAACATTGGGGGCTTTTCTCAGTGGGCTTGGGTTTTCTCGCCGTTTGGGGATGAAAGTGTAGCTTTAAGCTATGGCTAACGATTATCGTTGGGTTAGAGCCTTTGCTAACTGGAAAAGCATTGAAGTTGACTCAGTCTCTCAACCATGAAGCCACATTCCACATGGTAAAACTTTCTACAGGAGTGAAGCTCCATAGGGGAAGCTCTCATCTAGTTTCCGTTCCGTCCTTTCAAAGTGTCGAACAAAAAACTTGTGCTATTCAGAGGCCTTCCTAAAAGCCATCCAAAGATCCTGCGATGCTTTAAGCATCCGAGTCCGGTGTCCAAGCAGCGCAAGCTTTTCGGTTAGCTTCCTTGGGCTGAGCTGCAGAGCTTCTCACCTCAGAATCCCCTTGCTGTTTGTCCCAAAGTGGTCCCAATTTCCCGAACTGCCTACCCTTTTGAGGGGCGCGGGCTCATGAATCAATGTCCATTATGACCTACATTACCAGCACATAAAGCGTTGACCGCATCGGGAAACACGCGGTTACCCCCTGCCACCTGCAAATAAACAGTGAAATCCGCAGTTATCTTTGAGTGCTTCGTGATAAGAAGCTGGCGGAGATTAAGCCACAGCAGTCGCTTCTGTGGTCTGCGTCTCCTCACGCTGACGCTGACAAGGCACCTTATCGGCCACCGGCTGATGATGGGCCTGATAAGTCTGTTGAGTGTCTGACGCAGCAACCATGGCGGTCGTTTTGGGGTCACCCCCGCGAACAAGCTGAATGGGGACTTCAAAATTGCTCATTTCATTTCATTTCATTTCATTTCATTTAGTTCATTTACTACGATGCCATACCCGGAAATTGTGTTTAGCACTTATATTCTAAATAAGCGTAAGCTGTGGTAGATGATTAATATCATTCATGTACAGAAGTATGGGATCTTTTGACTTTGCCCTTGAAAACTTCATTTCTGTGACCGGCTTAATTTCGGTTTGCCAACTTTTCTCATTTGCTTGTGGCAAAAAACATCTTCGGTTCAGTGTGGTTACTACTTATTTATTGAAAGAAAAAAAAAACGGATGGGCGAAATAATGGAGGAAACGTATTTTGGGAGAACACGCTTAACGAGGCGTCAGATTGTTCTTGCCACCATCGACGGGCAAGAGGGCACCGGTGGTGAAACTGGCCTTGGAGCTGGCCAAAAAGGCCACTGCCTCGGCCACCTCGGTGACGTCTCCCACACGGCCCATGGGATGCGAATTGATGGCCCGCTGGAGCACGCCATTGTACTCCTCGTCGACGATGCCGATGTTGCGATGAATGTTGGTCACCACAAAGCCGGGATTCACCGAGTTCACGCGCACACCCTGGGGCGCCATTTCGAGGGCCACAATCTTGGTGAACTGATCGAGGGCAGCCTTCGAGACTCCGTAGCTGAGCGCTCCGGCGAAGGGACGGATGCCGGCACAGCTGCTCACATTGACCACGGCTCCCTTGGTCTTCAGGAGGTGCGGGAGCACCGCTTTGGTCAGCAGAATAATACCGCGCAGATTGGTATTCAGCACCGCGTCGAATTCCTCGATGTCCAGGTCGATGATGCCACCCTTGCCCAGAATGCCCGCATTGTTCACCAGCACGTCGATGCGTCCGAACTTGGCCAGCGTTTGCTGCACAATCGCGTCCGCGTCCTTGGTCACATCGGCCACCACGATTTCCGCCTGTGTGCCCTTCAGGTTCTTCTTGGTGGCCTCCAGATTGGCCACATTGCGACCCACCAGCGCCAAAGTGGCACCTTCGCGAGCCAGCACCTGGGCGATTGCGGCACCAATTCCGCTGCTAGCTCCCGTCACGATCACCACCTTGTTGCTGAGACTCATCTTGGAACACTGGAACCGGAGTGGCCTGGCGGCGCAATTTATAGACGTGCTCTCTTCTGCCTCCGATAAGATAAGTGCTGCACTTCACAAAAAATTATCTGCGATGGCCCGGAAAAAGTGCTTTTAATTTATGGCGTAATACGCTTGTTTGCTTGCCACTTTTTCGTTAGTTCGTTGAAAACAAAAGTGGAGGATTTCGACTGGCAAAGTAAATGACAGGAAAGGCGGAGTTCCTATTTGCAAATGTTCTATTAATCAGTGGCTTTTATTTGAGCCAGGTATGCCAGGTGCCTTGAATCAGCTCAGAAGCCGCAACGAATTTTTCGCAGTGCCGACGTGACGTGAATCGTTTCTCGTTCGCTGCTCTCCGGAAAAACAACCTGTAGAGGTTCACCTTGGGTCTCCGAGGGTCTTTATCGATGCTCTAGCATCGCATTAGCAGCCGCGATGCCTCGACTCGGGTTTTAAGAGTCAGAGCCGAAAGTTTTTAATTAAAACTTTCCGTGGGTCTTGTCTGATTTCAAGCATTGGCGAAATCAAGGCACATCGCAATTCGCCTAGAAGACGGGCCTCCAAGCAGACGGGACGCCCCCGCTGCCGCGAACTTTGAGTTGAGCGCCTCCGTTGTCAGATAATTAGCATTTCCATTTGGCTTGAGTGCGCACTCGTATATCAACGCCTCCTCGCGCAGATAAGACGCCAGGGGTCTTCAGCTGGAGGACATTGGGAGCGATTATGGTACAGTGGAGGCCCGGTAGCTCAAACCGCCATTAGGCCCACATGAATGGGCGTTGGCGTGTCAAGATAGGAGCGACCCGTTCGATCACTTCATTTGCTTCGAATTAAAGACGTGTCGACTAAGGACCGCGTTTCGTTGACGAGGTTCCACTGTACTTGCGTCCGATTCGGCCCAAAAGGACTGTGCTTTTGATGGTGTATAGTATTTGGCACTAATCGTTTTCCTTGCTAAGCGATTCTCCCTGACTCGGCAATTACTCAAAATCTATGACTGAGTGGATTAATTAATTAAAATAGCAGAGCAATGTAGGCAGGGGCAGAAAATGCATTTTATTTATCAAATCTTGTTTCCATAAACTGGGGATTTGCTTCAAATTTCCTAGTGCTAAGTGCTAAGATTGGAATGTGCGATGGAAGCGATTTGTTTTGTGATTTGAATGATTTTAATCAATAACAATGCATGGGCTTGTATGCGAACGGAGGCTTCCTTCGTCGTCGAGGAAGTAGGAATACTCCAGCCACACTCCTCCGCACTTCCGAGTCCTTCGACGCAACTCAATTTGTCCTGGCTGGAGTGCCACAATGTTATACTGGTAAACGTGGTAAGTCCTGGCTGCCAATTCCACCGATCCCCGCCTGCTGCACTTGCCTGAGTTCTTGGCCAGTCACTTCCAACGCCAGTGGCAGGACATCGGAACCGAACCGAACCTAACCAAACGGAAAAGAGAAGTCCTCGTCCCGACTCAAGGATGCATTGATAAGTGACAGCGGTTTATGGAAATCGATGGAGGGGAATTCATGTAATTGACAAGTGAAACGAAATTGCATACAAATTGCTTAAACCTAGGAACTTGCAATCTAAAATAAATTAACTTTTAATTAAACCCAAGAAGAAGCGCACGACTAACAAAACGAGAAAAAAAAACAAAAAAAATAGAAAATAGAAAATAGGGAAATGGAAAATGGAAAATAGCAGGAAACGTAACTCGATTTGAAACCCCTTGCAGATTGCATTGATTATCTGAGTTGAAAATGAAGGTTTCTGTTGCTGCAAATATTGTAACTCCTGCAAGAGGGTAAACAGACGACTAAACTAAGAAATAAGTTAAATACACTATGTACAGCGGTGGAACGGAACCGAGTTGGAATCCTCTGGCGGTCCAGTCAGGCGGTCCAGGAGCTCACTTAAGAGCAGCCTTGTTCTTCAGCGGCAGGAATGCAGCCATAATGCATCCAGCTGAGTGATAAGAAGCAGCGATTAGAACCTATTTGGCTCAAGACCACTCGTTCTACTTACCCAGCATGAACAAACCGATCATGAGGAACGGTGGCACACAGCCCAGGCCCATCAGAGCCGGAAAGAAGATGTTGCCCAACAGAGAGCCCAGACGGCCGACCATCATTTCCAGCGAGACAATCATCGTCCTACAGAGGGATTATAAACCAGTTATTGGTAGAATCGAATCACTTTGCCGACTTGGACAAATGCCCACCTGAGCGAGGTGGGAAAGAGGTTGACTGAGGCGCTGATCACCGAAGTGGCCGATATGCTGCCCATGGTCACAAAAAACGAAGCAAGAGCGACCGTGGATGCCGCTGAGCTGGACCAGTACATGCCAATGGAGCAGCAGGCAGCTATGAAGAGTCCACTGGCTGGAATTTAGGAAAAGTAAGCAACCATTTGCGATCAAAGCTGAGTACTCACTCATTATCAGCTTGACGCCAACTAAATTCACCAGGAACCCAGCCAGCATATATGCCACAAAGCCCGCACCGGCCACAATCAGATTGTTGGTATAGGTGGAGGGTGTTATATTCACGTGGCACTCGACCAAGGGATCGTTCTGGGTAACTGCCTCCAGTTGGCTTTGGGTGCGATTAACGCTGTACTCCAAGATGTTGCAGATGCTCGTCGATTGGGATTGTCCGCTGAACAAGTTCTCGTACTCGTTGATGGAGGCAAAGAGTTGTGGCAGCCACAGTCGCATGGTGTTTTGTCTAACAATTTAACATAGATTAATCCCATGATAGTATCACAGTTGTACTTCGTAACCAGTCATATGGCCAGCGGGCGTACATCTCAAAGATCTCTTACTACACTTACCCCAGGAGCACGCAGAAGTTCAGGAGGTAGACCCAAAGGGAAAGGGCCAAGTAGGGCTTGGTGAACAGCGGACGAAGCTGCGTTAAGCCCGAACGCAGGGAGCTCTTTTTGGAGTGACCCTGACTCTCCGGATCCTGCTGCGGATCATCGCAGTCCGTCGGAAGCTTCACCTCAGTGGGAATAGTTTCCTTCTTGGCGTGCTTTTTCACCGGAACGATTACTTCGTTGGCCAGCACTTTGATCTGTTTGAAAATACACGCATTGATGGTTGAATATCCTATCATGATTGAGTAAACGTACTGGAAACGAGTCCTTGGGCTTTCGCGAGTTCAGGTGATACATGAACTTGAAGGCATCCAGCGCTTCCTGATTGCGCCCCTTGGACATGAGGAACTTGGGACTCTCCGGGAAGAAAAAGAAAAGCACAAAGCCCAGGAGACTGGGAAGTGCGGTGATGGCGACGAAGAACTGCCAGGAAGTCACTGAAATGGTTCGAGGTTGCATTAGAAAACTAATTTGTTCATAAATCAAGAAGTTAATTGTAGCGAACTGGAGAACTGGTAACTCGGCATGTAATCGTTTTACGACTGCTGTAATCAGGCACTTCTTGTTATCAACCTGCTACTCTACTGCAATGTTTGCACTCAATGAAATCTGTTAAGCTGCATTTGTATTTAGGTAGCGTTAGTGGCGCGTGGAGTTCATATATCGTTTGACACTTTGTGCCCATGGTGGATGGGATCACTGTTGCACGGTTGCTTATCCGGTTATCTGCTATCTTCTAATCAGCTATCACTGATAACAACACAGTCAAACTCGTGACGCGCCCTCGGGACTTACACGACAATGTCCAGATACGGATGTACCACGTTTCGGGCAAAATCAGCATGGCCAGTCCCGGCAGCGTGAGCGTTGCAATGGAGAACATGGTGCCCACCAACATCATGATGCGCTGTCGATGCTTCCGTCCATGGAGTTCCGTCAGATAGGTCATAAGAACGGCAAAGGGGCCACTCATGCTGCATTAAGCACAGAGATGCTGCAGGGGGTCATTTCCAAGCGTGCGGAGTTAGTCACTTACCAGAAGCCCCCAAGGTACTTAAAAACAATCAACTGGATCCTGTTTTGGCTGAAGGCTCCTCCCAGCACGCAAATCGTATCGGCGGCATAGCCCACAATCAGGATGTTCCTCCTGCCCTTGGTATCGGACAAGTAGCCCCACAAGACCGCCGAGCTGATCATGCCCGCGTAGGTAATGGCATTGAGGATGCCCTTGTCCAGCAGGCTCAGCTGCAGATCACACTCGGCGCTGGGCAGGATGAAGGACATGGTGGAGGTCTCGTAGACGGCGCTCATGGCCGCGGGAATGGCGGCCACCAGCAGCAGGATGTTGAACATTCCAAAGCCAGCTGCATCGATGGCTGTCTCGAAATCAGCTACTGCCTCTTTTTGGGGAGGATCTTTTTGGTGGTCCGTGGTCTTGGGAGGCGTGGGATCGCCGGATTCGCTGGGCTCACTCATCGTGCGCATTGTTTGGGTCGCCTCTGCTGACTGAAGCTGGCGCACTGGGCGGATACGTTATATCTTCCAGACGGCGCTGGGGCCTCAAATCATCTTTGTTTGCCTATAGTCGAGGGAAAACAAGCGGCGATGCCCATGCCAATTGCGCTAATCTAGCGACTAGGGATCACCCTGCTTGGGCTGCTGCCAGTGTCCGTAGTGTGGTTTTCTCTGAGCGTGGGCTCTGCGCACCAGAGCTCCTCGCTTATTTAACCAAATCATTTTCCTGGCGGTGACCCCGCGAACTCCCCTTTAAACTAATGGTTTCCATTTCCTCCTTCCATTTTCGGACAGGCATGAAAACAATTAAACGCCTCCCTGTTTGCTCAGCGGTTTATGGGCGCCCCATCATCCGCATCATCAGCGGTATCTGGCGGTTTCTGACGGTATCTGGCCCCTCGGCGTGCACTCGTATGTGATCACTCTGCCTGCGACTGTCCATGTGAATGGGGGGCTTTATGGCCACCGTGATTCGGTTTGCTGATTCGGTTGTCGATTCCCTTTAGCGTCTGCTTGGCGCAGGGGTATATTGTTTCGCTGCAACGTTTATAGCCGACTAGCCAGTCGTTCTGCTCAAGCACCTTATGATGATGCACAAGTTCAGAGTGAAAAAGTGTTGGCCCACTTTCGATACAAAAATGGTACGACTTGGTCAAGTGCTTCCGACTAACTCCTAACAGTTTTGTGACATTGTACAACTTTTTAATGGTATTTCACAGTCGCCATTCGCCGGCGTCTTCCTCGCACCTGGTCTGATTACGGCTCCAATGACGACACGGCAGCGCCTCGCTGATTTACGTGGGCTCCCCGATCCCGTTTCCATTTCCATTTGCATTTTCCAGTTGCCAGCCTGGCAACCGTTGCGTCGTCATCGTGCTAAACTAATTGCGATGATTACGGGTTATGAGTTGGTTTCCCTGAAAACTTTTCGGGATTACGATTACTCATGTAGGGGCTTAGAGCTGTGGTCTGGCCTTGGTTTGGCGTGTGCTGCGATTTGTTTTCACAGAATCTGAATCTGGCCGGCACAGTGGGGGCCCGCCCGTCGGTCTCATGTGGCATAGATCGGGATTTGATATTAATTAAGCGGACTGCAGGCGGGGCGGAGGAGTGCGGAGGAACCAGCAATGGAGAGCAGATTACTCCCCAGCGGGAGCTTAAGGCGCAACTTAAAGATATGGCATCGGTTATATCGGTTTAGTGCCGAGCAGTGGCTGACCTCTGCAGGGCAGGATTTCGGTTTCTTGAAGGGATTGCTCCATCCTTTGCGCTGGGTCGTGGTAATTAATGGCTGATGAGCCAAGAAAAGTAGTCTCAAGAATTCCAAGGAACCTCGCCTCGACGTACATTTAATCCAGTTTATAAAAGAGTGCCATGTTTTAGTAATGGCGAAAGAGTTGGTTTGAGCCTAAAATAGCATGGCTTTCGAATTTTCGAATTTGGCTAGTGATGTGTGTGGGACAATGCTTTGTTCCTTTTATTAGGCATTGTGAATTCCCATGCCAGAGGACCTTTCTGAAGTGCGTTTGTGAAATCCAGATTATCGTGCACTTGCACAGCATGATTCATTCATGGGGCTCAGTACATTTTAATTAAGATAAACAAGAATTTGCGATGCAAGAGCAGTGTTTAAAGTCCCAGAAGAAACCCTTGCCTTTCCCATTAACCGCATCGCCTGTTTCTGAGCACTTTTCCCAGCAACTCCGCCCACTGTTCCCCACTGCTCTCCACTGAGGGCCATGCCCATGCCCAGTGGCCATAAAAGACATGACGAAATCCAGCAAGACTGAAATTTTTCCACGCTACAATTTGTTTAATTTCATCAGCTCTAGCTCCTGCTCCAGCTCCAGCTTCAGCTACGGATGCGAAAAGGCGAAGATGATTCGTGGGCATTGCGGACGGGGGGTACGCAAATTTCTTTGCGCTATTATCTAAGTCAAACAGAAGCTGGCGAAGCGAGCGCCAAAACTTTTTCACCTCCGACGATCGGGGCGCGGTGTCCCAAGGGTGTGGGAGGTGGGCTCGGAGTGGGGCGTGCACTGAACTAAATTTGACTCGAAGAACTTTAGCATTTGAGGTAAATCAGCCAGCGTCTGCGCTTTCTCTTCACTAGTTGTAGTTGACGACTACGACTTCAGACCGATGAATCCGCATGGGATATCTGGAGCATTCGCTTGCAATTTTTGAAACCTGCCAGTGCTTGAAGTGAATTTCTCTCTGTGTACTGCTGTAGTTAACGGCTTTGCATGTTGGACAGCGTCACAACTTGGCAACAAATTGGACTTTTGTTTGTGTTTGTTAAAAGGCTTAATTTGTTGTGCTTTCGGTCTGGCTGAGGAAACATTATGAGAGAGTGCGGAGGGCTGCTTTCAGTGGGTGGCTTTTGGGGGGATTGATGGCTGGTGGGTGGTGGGTGGATGCTGGAGGTTGGACGGCTAAAGTGCTTCACATAACTTGTCGCTATGTCCAAGGTGTGTGTGTGTGTGTGTGTGTGTGTGTGTGTGTGTGTGTGTGTGTGTGTGTGTGTGTGTTGAGGTGTGTCTGCCTAAATCAAGCTCAAACAATTTCAACTATTTGAATTGCCGAGCCATGGCAAGAGCATTAGAGTGCCGTTTACGCACACACTCGGTCCCCAGATACACTGAGCGAAGTTCTCTGTTCAGTTTCCGAGTCGCAAACTATATTTTACAGATTAGGCGTATGTCCAAGGAATCTGATAAGTTGTATATTAAACCTAGTTACCGAGTACCAGATAATCGATGGGACTTTTAAACTCTGTTGGTTCCTAACTACCGAGTTCTTTTTGCAGTGCGTGGCAAACACACACACGCGCAGGGGTGCATGTGGCACTCAGCTGCTAACGACGTGCCCAAGTAAATGTCAAACTAATGCCCAAGCTCCGCACCGCAGGAGCCAGGATGCCAAGCCACGAACCCACCACCTGCACTTCCATCTCCATCAGCACCTGGCCCCAGTTCCCGATTCCCCGAATCCCCGAATCCCCGTCTCGCCGACCATTCTACCGCAAACCATCGACGACCATCGCCAACTCAATAATGTAATGTCCCTCATTGGCGCTTAAAGTTTATGTATACCCACCCATTTTCAGCATGTTACGCTCTTGCCAGTGGGTTACGGGGCGGGCGCTAGAGATGAGTGGTCATCGTCATCAGCTGCCTTGTGCGCTGGCTCATGCTGTAATACACGGTTCTGACCACCCGTCCAATCTATCCATCCAAGCTCTTGAATGTGACCACTGCGCCCTGCTGAATCGCTTTTCAGGAAAAGAGGTCCTGGAGCAGCCGCCTCATCGGAATCGCGTGTCACGCGCTCATCCCTGGTGGTAAGCCCGCCTTAGAAGGTGCACAGTTTTATGGGAGTTATTGCATTCAACGCTTTTCTACAGCTAGCGACAATCCGCCAGGTGTGCGGTTGAGTGGGATTTTGAGTAGTGCGCCCGGAGAAACACAATGCCAGCGGGAAAAGCGAGGGGTCGTGAGAAGGGGGCAGGAATAGGGCTTTCCACGAGGAAACGAATTACTGCATCGACTATTAGCCTATGCTATATATGCTATGCAGGTGCCATGGCGTGTTACATTGAACACCTACCACACTTTGCCGCCACCTGTTGCCACCAGGATGTCCTTGGGGGCTGAAAGACATCCTTCATCGCACCTGTCGCCACGTCAGAGCGTCAATCAAGCAGTCAATCAATCAGGCAATCATGCCGCCCGGTTGACTGCCGCGTAATTGGATGGTTGGGAAAACTGGCCCACTTAAGCGCTTAAGCGGCAGCTCGCCTTCGATTGTGTGATAACTTTATCAAAGTCCTCTAATCGAACTTTATGCGCTCCCGTGCTCAGTGCATTTCCATTCTCATGCCTTCAGCTGCACTGCAATAAAATGCGACCAACCGATGCGCGTGAGCATTGCACTCAGCAAAATTTGCAATAAATGGCCAAAAAATTTAATTCCTGTTTTTTGACACAGTTCGATTGCAAATTTAAATACGAGCTCAACGACGTATGACATTCTATGTTCAGACAATTATTTTTAAAGTTGTGGGCAAAAAACGGATTATTTTATGTCGGAAAAACGGAAAAACGACTTTTGGCAAATATTCGATATTTTTGATGGGAAGTTTTATCATAACTTCCATAAAAATGATCAAAAAGATGAAAGAGTTACAGTTTTGAGCAGCTAATTACCAACGCTAACCATCCCTATCACTTTTTGACGGATTTGGGAAAATAAATTTTTTTGTGATTTTTTGCCTTTTTTTGTAAGGGGTAACATCAGCAAAATTTGCAAAAAATTGCCAAAAAATTTATTTCCTGTTTTTTGATACAGTTCGATTGCAAATTTAAATACGAGCTCAACGACGTATGACATTCTATGTTCAGACAATTATTTTTAAAGTTGTGGGCAAAAAACGGAATTTTTTATGTCGGAAAAACGGAAAAACTACTTTTGGCAAATATTCGATATTTTTGATGGGAATTTTCAGCATAACTTCCATAAAAATGATCAAAAAGATGAAAGAGTTACAGTTTTGAGCAGCTAATTACCAACGCTAACCACCCCTATCACTTTTTTACGGATTTGGGAAAATACATTTTTTTGTGATTTTTTGCCTTTTTTTGTAAGGGGTAACATCAGCAAAATTTGCAAAAAATTGCCAAAAAATTTATTTCCTGTTTTTTGATACAGTTCGATTGCCAATTTAAATACGAGCTCAACGACGTATGACATTCTATGTTCAGACAATTATTTTTAAAGTTGTGGGCAAAAAACGGATTATTTTATGTCGGAAAAACGGAAAAACGACTTTTGGCAAATATTCGATATTTTTGATGGGAATTTTTATCATAACTTCCATAAAAATGATCAAAAAGATGAAAGAGTTACAGTTTTGAGCAGCTAATTACCAACGCTAACCATCCCTATCACTTTTTGACGGATTTGGGAAAATA